TCTCAGATCGAGGGGCACAGTTCACGACTAATTTTTGGAAGACATTTGAGCAAGGTTTCGGTACTCAGGTAAATCTTAGTACAATCTTCCATCCATATATCGATGGGCAGGCAGAGCATACTATTCAGACACTTGAGGATATGTTACACGCTTGCGTTCTTGACTTCAAAGGTATCTAGGATGATCATTTTTCGCTCATAGAATTTGCCTATAACAACAGCTATCATGCTAGCATTCAGATGGAGCTGTTCGAGGCTTTATATAGTAGGAGATGTAGATCTCCCATTGGATGGTTTGAGATTGGGGAAGTAGAATTGATAGGGCCGAACCTCATGCATCATGCTATGGAGAAGGTTAATATCATTACAGAATGGTTAAAAACTGATCAGAGGCATCAAAAGTCCTATTCGGATGTGCGTCGCAGGGATTTCGAGTTCAAAGAAGATGATTGGGTGTTCTTGAAAGTTTCCCCTATGAAGGATGTAATGCGATTTGGTAAGAAAGAGAAATTGAGTCTGAGGTATGTCGGGCCGCACAGAATTATTCAGAGGATTGGTCAGGTGGCTTACAGGCTAGAACTACCTCCAGAGATGTCTTTAGTGCACCCGGTATTCCACGTATCCATGTTAAAGAAGGTGGTTGGGGATCCATCGCTTATTGTTCCGGTTGAGACTATCGAGGTTAATGAAGAATTGACTTATGAAGAAATTCCAGTTGCCATTCTTGATAGGCAAGTACGAAAGTTGAGAAACAAAGAGATTGCCTCCGTAAAAGTACTATGGCGGAACTAACAGGTTGAAAAGGCCATCTGGGAGGCCGAGGAAGAAATGAAGAAGAAGTACCCTAATTTATTTGAATAGCTATGTAATTGTATACATGATGTTAAGAGCTAATTTTCTACAAATCATGATTTCCCCTATGCAACTTATATTAAGAATACTCCCTCTTGGTAATGCGATGTTTATGGCGTTGTTGCCGGTGATGTTTCCGTATAATTTTGCATTGTTGTGTTGTGGTTGTATTGTTAGGATTGGTTTCTGGGATTCTTTGACAGGTGGATAGGCCCAGTTACACGGGAGACTCTAGCCAAATTTTAGAAAATTTAGGGAGTTAGTAAAAAATTAGAACAGATGGTGTGTGTTGTAGTAACTAAGTCACAATGTGCGCTAATGTTGAATTTTCACCCTCATTCGAGGACGAATAATCTTAAGTGGGGGAGGAGGCCCCGTAAACTTTTACCAAAACCCGAGGTTTCATGGTGCTGAAGTAGGCTTAGGTGTTGACGATCCACTATGCGGCAGCAGAATCACTTTGCGGGGCGCAAAATGGCTGCAGAGTGAAGCAGAAAACTGGGCAAGTTTGGATGACATTTTGCGGTCAACTATGCGATTGCAAAACTATTTCGCGGGCCGCAGATCGACCGCGGAACCAGCATGAAAAGTTTTTTGAGGGAGGGTTTGCGGCGCATTATGTGACCGCAGAACAGATCTGCAGATAGCATAATGGCCGCAGAGTGGGGCAGAGTTGCCCAAGTTCTGGAGGGACATTTCGTGGCCCATTTTGCGGACCGCAGAAGCATTAATAATTAACCATGCATGTGACGAGGCTCCTTTTTTCTAATATTTTTACCCGATCCTATTTCGATATATTAGAGTAATGGACGCAAAAACATAAATTATGGAGTGAGGGGGTGCCAAGGAATGAGAGGGGAAGTTACTAAACTCATCACCCATCAATTCTTGCTCAAAGTTGAAGAAATTGTAAGAAGAATTCACTAGGTCTTTATCCTAGAGGTAAGTTTCTACTCCATAGCCCCCAATTTCGTGATTCTAATTCAAAATAGATAATAAGACAAGTAAATTCTGGGGTGTGGGAGTTGTTTAATTTACATGCATGTACCATCTAGCGTAGTGAGTAGATTGTTGAACGCTTTTGGGTAAGCTTTGGGTAGTGGGATGATAGAATCCACTATAGGAGGACCTTGGAACCTTAATACACACCTAGTGTTTGATAAAATGCTCAAGTGAGCTAGAATTATGAACTCCTTCCTAATTTGTATTCAATTTTCCATTATCTCTAAATAGATCGAAGTGGCTAGAATCTTCGGAATATTTTAGTAAATAAGAAAGGGCTCGAGGCAAGGTATGTTGGCTAAAATTCTCTCTTAGAATTGAATTTCCATGATGATCTTGTAAGTCCCGAGTTGTCCATTATGAATTGACTTTTCTGAATAAGTTTGGCATCGGATGATGTATATATATGAATATATTAAAATGTATTTCGGAATGTTCTTATTAAATTGTGCTATTCTTCGAGAGAGTATTTGAAGTATGAGTATGTATTTAAATGTTGTGACTTCAAGTCAAGTCCAAATGAAAGTGATCACATCAAATTGTATAAGAGATCATTATATGCCTAAGACCCTAACTTACTCAAGTGTGTGTTTAAAGTCTTAATTTGAAAAGCTTCGTTGTTGATTATCCATGATAATGATTGAAAATGGAATAGTAAAACTACAAGAAATCTATCTTTTAGTGGCGACCAAAGTACTTCCATTACTGAATGTTACTAGTGGCGACAACATGAATGTTACTAGTGGCGAGAACATGAGTTCGCCACAGAATGTATACATTTTGTGACGACGTTGTCGCTACAAAAACTAAATGTACTCGCCACAAGTAAGAGTTCCACCAAACTAATTTTATTGAAGTCGCTACTGAAGAGTAACATTTAGTGGCGACTTAGTCGCCACAAAAACAATTAATCATCAGTGGCAACTCTTATAGAGTTACTGTAGAGTGACATTTAGTAGCGACTTAGTTGCCACAAAAGTGATTAGCCATCTGTGGCAACTCTAATACCTCTACTGAAGAGTCGCATTTAGTGGCGACTTAGTTACCACAAAAATGATTTGCCATTAGTGGCAACTCTAATAGAGCTATTGTAGAGTGACATTCAGTAGCGACTTAGTTGCCACAAAAATGATTAGCCATCAGTGGCAACTCTAATAACGCTACTGAATAGTGATTTTTAGTGGCGACGGCATCAGTGGCAACTCTATATCGCTACAGAATAGTGATTTTTAGTATCAACTAAAACTCGCGATTAATATTACTCTAGTAGCAACTGAATACTAGAGTTTACCCTAGTATTAATATTAATATTACTCTAGCAACTGAAACTTATATATTAATATTAATATATAAGTTTAAGATCATCCAATAGTATTTAATAAACACCAGAAGAATTTCCTAAACCAAATACTAAATACTTCCATTACTAAAAGTTCAGTACATATATACTATGCAATACTTCATTGTCATTGTACGCATATACATATAACCAAAAAGCAAAATATTGAGTGCCTTAGCTTCAAGCTCCTCCGCATATATACTATATAATACTTCATTATCATTGTACGCATATACATATAACCAAAAAGCAAAATATTGAGTGCCTTAGCTTCAAGCTCCTCCGCATATATACTACGTAATACTTCATTGTCATTGTACGCATTTACATATAACCAAAAAGCAAAATATTGAGTGCCTTAACTTCAAGCTCCTCCTTCATTGTCACTATTGTTTAAGAACCTTATTCATATTATTAAAGAAAAAAATACAAGATCACATTGTTAGATCTTGAAGATAACATCAAGGTGAAAAATGATACAGATAACAACATTCGGCCGAAGAAGCGACTTAAGCTCGAGAGTCTCATAATAATCAGAAAATTCTTGCGCAAAGCATTGATAGTTTATTTCTAAGACAACAACCAAGCTTAATTTTACTTCAAAGCATTGATAAATCAGTTTGATACCAAGATTGAAAAATTCCACAGAAATGCCATCAATCCAATAACTAAACAGTTGCATAAGGGTACTACATCGAACTGCAAAAGCTATATGCAACAACTTTGGTGTAGAAAGTAATACCAACAATAACTAAATATTTGCAAGAGAGTACTATATAAAAATTACAGATATTATCTTTCTGCCAATATAACAGTTCTTAGGATGATTAAAAACCACTAAGTAATTAAATAAATACCTCTTACTATAAGAAAAGTCAATTTATTTTTTACTTATCCAAAAAAGTCACTATGTTCATATCCAAAAGGGCTTATAAAACAGTGTCTTTAAATCTTAATCTACAACTATCCAACTGTAGGAATATTTTCAACCTGACCATTACCACCTGGTTTATCAACAAGGATCCAAACTCTATTGCAACAATCATCAGTTATGTTTGTCACTTGATTAATGTAAATAACAACTGGTGTAACAACTGAATTGCTACTTAAAACTTTGTTCACAATATCCTTTTCTTTGATTCCAACTAACTCAGGCCACACAAATTTAGAGCCTTTAGGAAATAAACCAGCTCCAGCACAATCATTGCCAATACATTTACAAGGTGAACGAGGTGGATAGGCAGTACGACCCTCCGCTGATGAATAAATTGCCAAAAAGATAGCTATAACAAATGATAATTTTTTACTCATTTTGTTTAATTTGTGGTTTGTACGTATGTGTTGGTTGACATTTTATAGTGAACTAAATACACTGAAATTGTATGAGGATTGAAGCAAAATTAGATTACTTGGAAACTAGAGATATAGTAGATAAATGTGATAATGTGAAAAACTATCCAACGGTAGGAAAATTTCAGCTACAAAACTTAGCTAAAATATGAACTTCAGATTGATATGAACTTCTGCAAAATAACATCAGAAACAAACCAAAATTTCTCATAAAATAGACACTTCTGCCCAATAATATTATAAAATAGGCTAGCATTTTTATAGTTGTATTAGAATATAAACCAAGATCTCTCCCAGGTATTTTAACAAACACATTATGTGCCTCATAAAAGAAGGTATTTTATCAAATACATTATGTGCCTCACAAAAGATATGAAGAGAAGAATTGCAAAGAAGGAACCAAAATTCAAGAAAAAAAGAAGAAGAATAGTCAAGAAGGAAGGAAGAGTACATAAACATTAAGAGTAGATCGCCTGTTGCATTCCAGTCATGATAGAAGCCAGTTGTTCTTGAATCCTCTTGGCTACTTCTACACTGATCCGGTTGTCTACTTCCACATTCACGTGCTCAAGTTTCTCTTCCAACTTCCTTTGCAATTCTTGTTCCATGTTTCTTTTTAATTCGGCAGCCATTTGTTCACGTTCTTCTTGCAACTTTTGACTCATCTCAGTTTGCATTTCTTCTTGCATTTCTTGACGCACAGTTGCCATAGCAGAAGACACACTAGCCTCTAAGTTTGCTGCTTCAAAGTGACTCTTTTTTGGAGGCTTCTTTCCGTACCCTTTACCACGAACATAGCCTATTCTCTCACCGAGAACAGAGGATAAAATCTCATCTCTAGTCATGAGATGCTCGTTCTCTTCAGATTGTTGTTGAGCCACTAGTTCCTGTAGCTGGCCCTGCAATTAAGCGTAGTCATTTACAATATAAAAAAAAATATAAAAAGATAAGAATGTAGTGATTAAGAATATTACATGAATTTGTTGGGATTGTGGATCCACCTACACAATTTCTCCATTATCATCTTTACGTGTATGTTGGATCTCCCAGACTTGATCTGGTCTTTCTTTTTCTCCGGTGGCAGGATTTTTCTACAATATAGTTCAATAGAAAACATAAATAATCAAATAAATGAATAGACATGTAACAAGAAGTATGCATGATAGCATAATAATAAATATATGTTTACTGTCGATTCCTCTACTTTTACAAAAGACCTTGTACCACAAGCATGCTTAGTTATCTGCTTTTCACTATTCTTTCTATTTCTCTCGCTTACAACCTGCACTAAGTCACCAAATTATGAAACCATTATTCAAAGAGTAGTGAACCAAACACTATTATTCAATTACCTTAAATTCAGAACTTTCAAAATACTCTACTAGGTATTTCCAATCCTCGAGCTCTACATCTTCAGGTCGATGAGATAATATATTTCCATCAGCAATGTGGCGAGAGTAGTGACTGCTCAATCGAGCTTTCCATGCTCTAAAAAGCCATTGCATAGTACTGATGATAAAAGCTTGCAGCACATGCTCTCGCACACTGCCAAGAACTTCAAACTTATCCTGAAAATATATAAATGTAACATTATATTGATTTTAACTACAATAATAAACCATGTAATTTGAAGCCAACACAATGTTGAAAATAACTCATTACCTTAACCTTTAACCACATTGTTTCTCCATATTTTGAAACAATCTTTTGCCAATTCCCATCCCGGAATGAGATAGTGCTCCTCATGATCAAACCACAGTAATTAACAATATCTCTTTTCCCATCACCTACTACTCTATCAATGTCATCTGGAATCATAATTGTGATTTTTCCGCCGTACTTAGTTTTAATATCTACAGTTTTAGATTTATATTTTCCTCTTCCTCTCTTTTTGTTCCTGGAAGAAACTGCAATGGAAAAAAAATATACTGAGAAAGCATAGTAATAATACTTGTACCAGTCAATTTAAGAAATAATATGTGTGGCCAAATATATATATATGTGTGTGTGTGTGTGTGTGTGTGTGTGTAGTTACATTAAAGGGAAAAATAAAAAAAAAAAACTAACTTGCACTACCACTTTCAGCTTCTAGAGAAGGATATGCATTTCTGTCCAGATTTCTTGATGAAACTGTCTCAACAGAAGGTCTCTGCCTAGGGTTGCTTGATATTTGTCCTGTCTCTATAGGTTCTTGACAAGGATTAGTTAATTCTCCTGTATATAGGGATGATCTGGTATTTCCCCTTAGCTGCAATTGTGGCTGAGACATCGTTCCAGAATTGCTACTTCCTTGAAAATGGCCACGTCCACGGCCAGTTCCACCTCGACCTTTGCCTCGTCCAATTCCTGTCATGTTGAACCTCCTGCATAAAATAGAAAAAATTTGTAAGAACTAAGGCACAATTAGGGGTAAGATCTTATCATTATACATAAAAAATTAAAATTAAGCTTAGTGCACATAGAAGACAGGTAACAATTCAAGTCACAAAAGCTTAATAGATAACTAGTTATGAAATTAAAGTTAAAATCACCATGATTAATTTCACTGTCAGTTTAATAACGACTAAGATACATAGAACTTTTCAAAACAAAATGAGACATCTAACTACATCCGTCTTTGCTTCTCAAGCTTCAAAAGCATCATCAGTGTCTTCTCTATCACCAAGTAAATCTTCTTCGCTTTCTTCATCATCAGATACATCTATATGATTTTCATCAATGAAATCATATTCCTCTTCATGCGTACTTGTCTGAGCTTGTATACTTGCATCAATACTTTATGGTTCAACATCGTCCCTATGTAAAGCCACATCGATATCATTTTCTTGGTTATTGGTTTGCAAAATATTCAATTCAACATCTTCTTGTTGATAAGCTTTTTCATTCAGTAATGATTCATCTTCAACTTCTACAGAATTATCATCAACTTTAGGCATATTGAAAAGGTCACGAGGATTTGTCTTTACAATGACAAGCCAATCTCTATCAACCATGTCTTTTAAGTAGAAGACGTGTTCAGACTGAGATGCCAATACAAATGGCTCATTAGTGTTCAAGGCACAATGAGTATTTACACTTGTAAAGCCATATTTGTCAATCTTATATCCTCTTCCTAAGCGAGCCATATCCCACCAATGACACTTGAATAAGTCGATCTTCTTATTTCCCACATATGATAACTCATAAATGTCCTCTAATACACCATAATACACCTTATTAGAATCTGAATCATCTCCTTTTACAAGGACTCCACTGTTCTGTGTTTTTCTTCTCATCTCAAGATCTTTTGTATGGAATCTGAATCCATTGACTACAAATCTAGAATATCGATACACCATTGGTGCAGGACCAACGACTGCACGTCCTTGTGCAGATAATATAAAGATATACAAAGAAAAATAACACCCTTGTGACTAATAACACGATGTGATAATTACACTAATATTAAAATTATCATTTTACTCGACACATACACATGAACGAAACCAATCAAGAAACTCAATTTTATGCCCGTCTCTCCTTGAACCATATCTTTCAATCTCTTCCATGTATTCCCTATATTTTGATAATGGAGTTAGTTAAGAGAGTGTAATTTTAATGTGAGCCTATCTTGGAATTAATAATTAACTTATTCCATGAATGGTGAAACCTCTTTATAATTTTGTAGCACATATATACAAGCTTGTTTGAACTTATCATGAGATAGCCTGATACCTTCTGAACCACTTTTTGTTTGCCCACTTTTCTTAAAGATAGACATCTCACCATTTGACACAGAACCATCATCATTTCTAGTTGGTTTATTGAACTTGGTTGAGATATTCTTTAAGTATCATGAGCAAAATGTGAGACTTTTCGTTGCCAAATAACCTTCTGCAATCGAACCTTCAGGACGAGCATTGTTGCTGACATATGACATTTGTGTTCGCAAATACCTATATGAAAATGATTCATTAATGTAATGTGTCATTAAAAAATATGGCATTTTTATTATAGAACACATTACCTCTCAAAAGGATACATTCATCGAAATTGAGCTGGTCCACCAAGCTTTGCCTCTCTTACCAAGTGAGTTGGCAAATGAACCATGACATAAAAGAATGTTGGAGGAAAAATAATTTCAAGTTTGCATAACGTGCATGCACATTTAGCCTCCAGGATATCAAGACCTTCAATTGTCAAGGACTTAGAGCATACATTTTTGAAAATTTTGCCTAGCTCTATAATTGGTTCACACACTGCCTTAGGCAACAAAACACGTATTACAACTGGGAGAACGTCTTGCAATAATACATGGTGATCATGACTTTTCCATCCATAAATCTTTTTTTCAAGTACATTGACACACCTTGAAATGTTTGATGAAAAGGCATCAGAAACCTTCAAATTAGCCAAGAAATTGCATAACTTCAACTTCTCTGAGGACAATGCATAACATGCTGCATGTAATAATACATTATCCCCATCTTCTATCGGATGTAACTTTTGCATAATACCACGATCCACGAAATCATATCTACTTTTTAGTGTGTCCTTTGTCTTTCCAACCATATTCATCACGGTTGATATAATAGTATCAGACACATTTCTCTTAATGTGCATTACATCAAGGTTATGCCGTAATAAAAGAGTACTCCAATAAGGCAATTGAAAAAAAATACTTTTCTTCCTCCAATTGTAAGCACTTTTTGGAAAGTCATATTTTGGCTTTTTTCCCTTCCCATAACTAATATTTTCCAAGCCTTGTAATTGTATAAGTGCTTCATCGCCTGTTAAAGGATTAGGTGCAACCCCATTTTCTACCTTCCCATCAAATTTCCTCCTATTTCGGCGCCATGGATGATCTAATGGGAGAAAGAGATGATGGCTCATATAATACAACTTATTATGTAAAGAAACTGATTTTTTGTCTTTGCAGGAACAAGGGCATGCAAGCTTGCCTTTCGTTGATCATCCTGAAAGGTTTCTATACGCAGGAAAGTCATTAATCGTCCACATGATAGATGCACACATCTTAAAATTAGATTTTGAGTATGCATCATAAGTTTCCACTCTATCCCATAATTCTTTTAACTCTTCAATCATTGGTTGTAAATATACATCTATATCGTTACCTGGACACTGGGTCCTAGAATAAGAAGTGTCATCATAAAATACGAATCCTTCGTGCAATTCCATGGTGGCAAATTATATGTAGCTAGTACGACTGGCCAAATACTATGATTGGCACTCATGTTACCAAAAGGTTAGAACCCGTCACTTGCTAAACCTAAACGAATATTTCTTAATTCAGCTGAAAAGGTGGGATGTCGATCATCAAAGGATTTTCAGGCAATGGAGTCGGACGGATGTCGAAAGACACCATCATCAATATTTTCCTCCTTGTGCCATCTCATCTTTTTTGCTGTCTCTTTTGCCATGTACATTCTCTGAAGCCTTGGTTTGATTGAAAAATGTCGCAATACTTTACAAGCTATTTTTTTCCTTTTAGTTCGTCTGACTTCTATCTAGACTTACCACACTTAGGACATGATTGAGCATTGACATAATCGCACCAATATAAAATACAATCATTCCGACATGCATCTATTTTATTGTACCCCAAGCCTATGTCACAAAGAACTTTCTTCGCTTCATAGAAAGAATTTGGTACAAATGACCCCTCCGAAAGAACTTTCAAAAAGCTCAACAATTCATCCATCGATTTGTTGCTCCAATGGTCAAGACACTTCAAGTTAAGTAGTTTAATAATAAAAGACAACTTTGAGACTTTACTACAACCAGGATAAAGTTCTATCTGAGCATCTTCTAATAATTTATAGAACTTTATTGCATGTATATTTGGCTCTTCATTATCCTCTAAAACATTATTATCATCTGCCACATTAGTATCCACAAGCATCGTGAATCATTTTTGAAATATTATCCTCTTCAATGCTATCATTTCCTACTTCCTCATTGCATGCTACATTAGAATTTTTACCTCTAACTAACACTTCTCCGTGCAAGTCCCACACTTTATAAGAATACCAGAAAGCCTTCCTCAATAAGTCTCCTCTTACATCGGTTCTTAGCTTGAACATATTGTTCATACAGCATTTACAAGGACATCGAATCATAGTGCTCACCCTTGGGTGGTTGAATGCCCAACTAAGAAAGCCATCTACTCCATCTGTGTATCATGGGTCTCCTTTATTCCTAAGATTCAACAAAATTTTATCTATTCCTATTTTTTAGGATAAAAGGCAATCAATTAATTAACTAAAAGTGAAGTGCAACAACCAGCATATCAACAATAACATAAGTGAAAAGGATGAACAAATCAAATCACCTATAAAAAATTAGCATTGCCGCAACAATTTTTTCCTATTAAGAGTAGGATCTCAATAGAAATAGTGCATCAAACAAAAATACAATAATACTATACTAGTCAAAGAGAAAAATGTTTACTGTCCAACATGGTCACTTTTCCATAAAATATCTCAATTCCATTGAATCCAATCAATGTAGACATCTATTAATGAAATTAGGCCATTTATGTACCACATACTTTTAAAATGAGAAACTAAAATTTTATAAATTATAAAATACCAAGCACTAAGATAGTGCTCAATACATAAAGGGTATTCTCCCAGATGTTAATATAAATTCTCATCCATTCAAATAATGCACAGACTAGTTATGTAATTTGTATTCCTTTTTATATTATTTATCTTTATAACAATCAGTGAGCAAATCCTTATAATTTACAAGCACGAATAAATTTTTCAAATATCACACGTCTAAGAGAGAGTCAACCACATCTAAAAGAATAATTCCCTCTAATCTCTAACCTTAAAGAAAAGAAAAAAATGGGAGGAGACGTTATTGTTTACTGTAAGCAAAAATTAAAAATCACCTGAAAGTCTGGACCATGAAAATATGTTTAGCAAAAGTATCTTACTACCTTAATTCCAAAGACTACCCATTTTCTATCCTACAGCTTTGTTAATTTTAGCTGCAACTTCACTTTATCGTCCTAGAAGTAAGCAATTTAATATGATAGTATAAACCCCAAAAACAAAAAGAACAAAACAAAAATAAATTTAATTGCAATGAACGGAATGAAGACTATTGTTGATTACTATATCAACACAAGCTCAAATAACCTTCACCCGCACTATACAAAATATTATTGGGCAAATATTTACAAAAATTTCGGGTTCCATAGAAAAATATCAAGAACAATGAAGACCCATAACACCTAACATCACATTTCACGGGTTTGAGTGGAATACCAAACATGCAATCATCAAAAGATCTAAAATTTCAGAAAGAAGTTTTCAACTTACCCAGCAAAAGAGCAGTCGACACTGAGAAAGGGCTTTAGACGATGGCCATTCAAGAAAAATTACTTCTGATTCCTGTATATATTCAAATGGGTCAGAGATAATAAAGGTGAAATTGAAGAAATAATGATTCTCGCTAGCTGCATGTACCACCCAAAAGAATTTAGGATTCAAATCACTGTAACACCCCGGAAAATTTTGAAGTACTTAAGTGGTAAGCCCGGTAAATTTTGCAAAGAAAATAATGTTTCATGGTGTCGGACTAGGTTTACGTGTTTGAATATTGTAGCGGCTCGGACTTTTTTGGTTGAACAATGCACCGGAATAATGCGATTTCTGTGGTCCATTATGCGATCGCAAAATCACTCTGCAG